ATGGATACATATTTTTTTGTTGTCCTTGAAGGTCTTTCTTTCCTCTTCTTCCACTTGACTGATGGTTTGGCTGGATACAGAACTCTAGGCTGAACGCAGAACTTGTAAAACACTGTTCCTCCATCTTCCATCTTTAATTCTTAGATGCTGAGAAGTTAGATGTCGTTTATATTCTTAATCCCGCCTAAGTGATCCCGAAAGCTTTTGAGACATTCTCATTACTTCTGGTGTTCTTAAAGAAATTTCATAATAACTGCCTGGCATTGGCCTGTTTTCATTCCTTGTGCTTGGCACTATATAGCTCTCTTCAATCTGGAAACTCAGATCCTAAATAAATTTTCTGAAATATGCCTATATAGGGTATATACCTCTGGTGTATATATGTATGTGGTAAAACATTTCGTCCTCTGATAGATATGGCTACTAAGAAAATCAGCTTTGGAATCTGACAGACTGGACTCGACCCTCAGCTCACTACTTCCCAGCTGCAGCACTTGGGGAAGTTACCTTCTTTTCAACCATATATGAAATGGGGACAGGTTAACTGTAGAGATCTTTAATAAAATGACACATGTAAACTGCTTATACAGCAGCAACACATGTATGTAAATAAATGTACAAATGTTACCGTTATTAAAATATCACAAACTAGATTGGTGCAGATACTATAAAGACTGTCAAATCCATCAAGGCTTTGCTATTTAAGGAAATAAGACTAACAAAAGAAGTGGGAGGCAACCAACGGGTATAGGGTTTTCTTTTGGGGTGATAATAATGTTTTGGGACTTGAGAGAGGTGGTGGTTACAAAATATTGGGAAGGTACTAAATGTCACTGAATTGTTCACTTTAAAATGACTAATCTGGGGCTCCTGGGTGGCTCAGATGGTTAAGTGTCTGCCTTCCGTTCAGGTCATGATCCCAGAGTCCTGGGATCGAGCCCCACATTGGGCTCCTGGCTCAGCGTGGAGCCCGCTTCTCCCTCTCCCTCTGCCTCTCCCCCTGCTCATGGTCTCTCGCTCTCTCTCTCTCTGTATCTCTGTGTCTGAAATGAATAAAATCTTTAAAAAATAAATAAAATAAAATGACTAATGTTATATAATTTTTGCCTCAATAAAGAAAAAAAAGGAAGCAGGAAAAAGAAAGGCAGTATGAAGGAAGAAGTCAAAAGTTGCTGAAAAGGGGGAATGGGATTGATACTCTTTCCTCTAAGTTACTGTGAAACTTTCCTCTACGTACTCTCTTTTTAATTCTTTGAACTGAATAGACAATAAGGACAATGTTGGGAAGACAAACGCTTCTTTTTTTATCGAATATCAACACATAAATAAGGTTGACTGAGAGATCGACATAGAACTAAGAGATGAATATTTGAAGTTTCTTTGGGAAGAAAATGTATATAAAACAGGAAAACTGGAGAATATATATATATATACATATGAATAAAAAAGTTGATAGTAGAGAAGACAATGGAATAAGTCTTTTTTTTTTTTAAATCACTATATATCAGAACACTTAGCTCTAAGCATTTCCTTACACCAAATATGGGAATCTACCCTCATCTAAAATCTTTTCAATAAAAGGGGAAGTAAATTACTTCCCACTGATTTCAGACTAGGGGGAAATATTGTTATATGCATCTTTTCTCATTTTCAACATTTCCCAAAAGAAACACTGTTTAGAGAGATGTTATTTAATACAGTACAAAAGAAAAGAGAGAAGGGGGAAGGAACGCAGCGGAAGAGAAAGGAGAAAAGGAAAGCAGCATATTCGAATTTCACTCCTAGGAGATTTACAAGGCATAGTAGTGCATTAAAAGTTCTGCAGTAAGAAAGCCAGTTCACCTCTATTAAACCTACATTTGTCTGATTTATTAAGTACAGAACAGTTCTTAAGCTATGTCTGTTAAACACATAATGCATCATTTTGTTAAAGACTGCTTAGATTTATACCAGATAACATATAAATTAGGGTAACTTCAATATTAGCCCAAGGGGTAAGATTACCACACATATCCAAGAATAATCAATTATCTGAATAAAACATTGTTTCAAATTACCAGCTGGCCAGAGCAAGAGTTTAGAGGCAGTAAAGGAGGAGGGGGAGAGAGGTGGGAATAAGCGGAAAAGAAGAAGAAAAACAATCTGGGAAGAGTTAGCTCTTCGACTTCCCTTGCTGAGGTGTCCTTGTCCTGCCCGGTCAATTCTGATTATTAAACCAAACGTCTGCGGTTAAGATAGTAAAAAATTCCAGCTTGGTTGACTTCTCCCCCACTTTTTATTTTACATTAATTCCTAATCCTAGGAGGAGACCTCAAAAGGAGAAGTTAAATATTTGTCACTTGAGTACCTCTAGTATAAAATTTCACGTTGCCATAACAACCCATATCCCAAAACAGTTAAATACTACATAATTTAAGCATAAAGGCATTTGCAATTTCAGTTTCTTTTACTCAGAGGAAAGATGTACAACACCAACAAAATCTGAACTTGGCACAGGATTTCTTGTTTGGGGGAAAATCATAGAAAAAAACACGGATTTAGAGAAGAAAAGATAATTTTAAATATTCTTTAGATATCCCAATAGGGCAAAGGAAAATCCAAATGGAAATACATTTAAGAGAAAACTTGTAAGAAAATAAAGACACACTTTCAGGAATCACTACTGACTAATTACGACTGTCTCCAATATTGTGGGAACCAATCACGGAAATCAATCATTTAGGTACGAGAGAGACAGCCAATCCCTTGGAGAGGTTAATCCTCACAGGCAAAGCTACAGCTAACTTCCCGGTCACTGTTCGTCCTTTTTCTCATAAAAGCAGCGGAGTAGAGTTAGCAACTGCAGCAAACAAAAGCCTCCCTAAGCCTTATATCTTCCCAGTCAAAAAACGGGGGAGGGCAAGACAAACCAGGCACCACACAGCTATTCTTCATTATTTACATGCTACTACCATTGCCATTACCATAGGGGTGACAAGATCAGTTGGCTAAAGCAACTGTTGGCTAAATAACCAACCATACACATAAATCTCTTTTAAGGAATAACAGATTTGAAAAAGACAAAAGCTAGATAAAATAAACTAGATACACTAAAGCAGATAAAAAACTTCAACCTTGGTTACTGATTACAAATTAAATGTGTGAATCTTAATTCAGTGGCATAAAGGTGGGAGTTACAAAGTCAGAAGATAAAAGATCAAAACACTCGCAGCACAGTGTTTTCTTGGTGAAATTATTACAATCTAAGGTCTGAAAATGAAATGTGTAGATCCAGAAACCAAACTTTATCAGTAACTTAAGATGATCAGTCAGCTTCAGTGACTTATTCACAGTCGGACGAGAGCAAAGAGAAGCAGCAATACAAAACTAGCACCCCAGGTAAACTTACCACAAGGAGGCCCTTACAGTGACCAGAAACCTGTCCTCTACCCAGAGTATTCATACTCTTTTTCCACATGAGTATTAATCTGATTTGGTTGAATTAGTACTTGGTTGAATACAGAATTATACAGTAGTAATATAAAACAGATCAACCTGAAGATATTTCATCTAGGTCACAAGGAGGCTCAATAAACACTCCTGCACTACAGGAGAGAAGACATGTCTGGTGACTGCACTGCTCATTTTCCAGATTCTCCATCTCTCTCGATGCAAAATTTACACCCGTCATTCTGTTTTCCATCACCCACTGCATTTTCTGTAGATGTGTATTATCACTGACTAAGCCGTATCAAGCTGTTGCTCTCATGGATCTGTGATGTTACATATCCTTCCAACTGTGTCCTGCCCAACCATGAGAAGACACATTTATTTCCCTATTTTCAAGTTCTTAAATAGTACTTCTGACAGCTCCATATATCTATAATTGTAATAGAAACTATAAAGAAGCAGTTTGGTTTCTCTGTATTTTTTGTAGATACTGATACTGATTTAATAATTCTGAACAGAATATAAACACTACAACAGTCCAACTGGACACAACTCAATACTGCAAAATGTAAATATATACATCGGTTCAAGGCAAATTGCTAAAAGTTAACCACTTAGAAAAACAACTTATGGCTAAGCTCATATAAGGACACAGATAGGCTCATACTTAGACAACTATTATGAAAGGATTCTACATCTGCATAATGGTTTACAAAGTGCCCTCCCACTCATGATAATATTAATTCTCATCAAATATTTAAATTCAAAGTCTCCAAGAAAGAGATTTCTGTAAGAGGATAAAGGAAATAATCCAAAATTTTAAACTTTAAAAGCCATTAAATTTTATACTGATGTTTATAGTTAATTTTTCATACATATATATTTTTGCTTTGAAATGAGAAAATATATTAAGACTATACAACAGACACAAATTCCTTCTCTCATAAAATATATCATGCACTCTTAGGTTATATACATGTATTAAAATTATTTAAATCAGCCTTGAGAAATACAGTTTTGAGCTGAATAATAATTACACTTAGAAAATTATGCAAGTTTATAAAAGAGACAAAGTCAGGCTTTGGTTTGCCCAGTGATTTCTGTCCAGATCCTGGGGTACCAAATACCTCTTCAAATGCTTAGTATACTTATGCCCCATTATAAACTGTTCTATGTAAAAAATAGATGGTTATCAGTTATCTCTACCTTTGGATGAATAAATTTAAGTGAATGAATCCACTTGAGGATCTAAACCTAATCCCCAATTGTGAAATAAAAGACAAAAACCATAGTGTAACGGAATCCGGGAATTAACTTGGTAAGAAGCATTAAAAGGAGTCCATGATATCCTATCACATACACCTGATCATGTCAAAGGTTATTTCTTATCAAATGAGTTGTATCCCACTGAGGTCCATTAAACAAACAAAAAGCAGTTATAGAGCACCAACATAATAAAAATAAAGTTTACATCACAAAGCACATCATTTTCTAAGATTTAGAAGTCTTCTCTAAATGAAAATACAGCATGAATACATCAATATTTGAAACAGAAGATTAAGAGTTCTTACCTTACTACATCATCAATATTGTTCCTGTATACGCCTTCAAGTCTTTCTGCAGGAAACCCCATAGCAATAATGTTGGGATAAATATCTGAGTACTTAAGTTAAGGAAATATCTGAAATATACAACAATGCAAACTACATGTATGTGTTGTAAAACATCAGCTGATTATAAAAATTACTATACCTATGCTAGTAAAAGGTTGTCAAATGTATTTTTTATAACTATCATGTGTAATTAAGAAACACAGGTAAATACATTAATTCCAAAATAAGTCCTCAAAATAATTATACGGCAAAATAATTTTCAAATCTCTCTACCTAGTACATTAAAAGGGCCCTTAAGGAAAAAAGTAGCTTCCACGTTTACAGTATTTAGGCATGTATACATGAAAGACAAAAACCACAGACTTTATAAATCAGAACTGAAGTTACCCTGGGACAAAAACCAAGTATCAAAATAAAAACAAAAACAGCTCCACAACTTCTCATTTCTCATGGTTACAAAAGGCACCACAGCACAGAGAAAAGTAGATAACAATCAACAGTTAGGAAGCCAGATTTAAGACCTGGCTATGCCTCCATCCAGTTGTATAATTTGGACACGTGACTTAACCTTTTCAGGCTTCAATTTCCTATTCCACACAATTAGGCTGAGACAACCACAGTGATCTCTTCCAAGTCCTTGGTATTTGTGACTTGGTAATACTGAACTTAGGTAGAAACTTATTCTCATTTACCATCAAGGTGGTCAACATATAGCATGCCATTCTATTCACTTATGTTACACACTATAGTTGGCATAAAAACAAACTTCTGTGCTCCAGAAGAATCTGTACCAAACTAAAAAAAAAAAAAAAAAAAAAAAAAACCAACCACACAAAAAAACCACCAACCAATCTACATTTCTATGCATTTGTCGACCATGGCAGTGCTCATTTCTTCTTAAGCGCCATTATTCCTTTCTCTAATCTCATGATTTTTCTGACATGGACCTTCCAAAAACAGCCAAGCTAATCTGCCTCAAGCCTCCCTTCAACACCATCCCTGAAGTTCTCTGCCTGCGTACTCCTGGACACCATTCGTTCTTCAAGTACAATCCAAAATTCCCCATATCCAGTGCCTTTTTCTAGATCTTTTTTCTTCACTTTCTGCTGCTTTCACATTACTGAGTTGATTTCAGTATTATTTTCAATCCAAAAATAATTATCAAGTTACTAAAAGCTTTTATTTTAGAATTATTTTTTTAAAATGGTTTTATCCATAGTTTTACCACACACTGATTGGACAGACCTAAAAATATTTTAAGGAAAAAAAAAAAAACCACAGGGGTGCCTGGGTGGCTCAGTCTTAACAAACTGCCTTGGCCTTTGGTTCAAGTCATGATCCCAGGGTCCTGGGATTGAGCCCCGCGTCAGGCTCCCTGCTCAGTGGGGAGTCTGCTTCTCCTTCTCCCTCTGCCCTGCTCATGCTTTCTCTCTCTCAGTCTTGATCTCTCTCTAATAAAATTTAAAAAATAAAAATATCTAATAAAAAAAATAGACCACACACAACAGCATATACAGTATGCTGCTACCTTTTGTATAAAAAATATTTTCTTTTTGGATAAAATAAATAACATTTACACATACATTTGCTTGAATTTGAACTTCTCAACACACGTGCATTTGCACACACACACACACACATAAATGATAACTGAGAAACTAATAAAAATGTTTGCTAAATAGAGAAGGGGTGGCAAAGGGGAGAAACATACACTAAAAACAGCAACAAACAAATAAACCCAATTAATTATCAAATTGATAACCAGGAAATAGGGTTTATTTCCCTGGGGTTATGTGGACATTGCAGTTTACTGTACTTCTTGGTAGGAAGCACTCTAAGAACAAAAAGAACTACAAAGAGGGGCGCCCGGATGGCTCCGTTGGTCCCGCATCTACCTTCAGCTCAGGTCACAATCCCAGGGACCTGAGATCTAGCCCTGTACTGGGCTCCCCCCTGCTCAGCAGGGAAGTCCGCTTCTTCCCCTCCCCCTACTTGTGCTCTCCCTCACGCTCACTCACGCTTCCAAATAAATAAAATCTTTAAAAAAAAGAAAAAAGTACTACAAAGAAATTTTAAACTTCTGAGAGTTCATTTTTACTAATATCAGTATTGATATCCTCAAGCTTTTTTCTTTATATTGTAGAAAAAAAATAAAATTTTACCAATGATTTTAAGATTCATGATTACAGGTATAAAATCAAGAAATCAAGTAAAAACATTAATTAAAAATATCAATATGAACTCATGCTTATAAAAATCTATGTTCTCTAGGTCTTTTCACTGAAATGGCCTAGAAGCACATCAATCTTAGCAGCAAACAATCCCGGGATGGACCCAGATTTCATCTCTAATATGTAATACATTAAAAGGTACTTAACCCCTTAGGACAACAGTTGGTGCCAGGTCTGGGGCAGGAAGGTACAAGATGAGTCTGGGATATCTTTCTGTGCCAGAAGACGAGGAAGGTATTCAGAGATTAATGGTCTTTATCAGACAGATACAGGAGCTAAAATGAAGGACATCCCAGGGCCTAAAGTTGTTAACAATCTGAGTATCAAAGAAAAAATATAAATGGTAGTAAATTAAAACACCCTAAATGAAATCAAAACCCTTGAGTCTATATAAAGACATTCAAAAGAAAAAAAGAACAAAATATTTTTCATTTATCACCTTTTGAAGTGGCTATTAGAATAGTTCTTTCTTTACTTTGAAAGTAGGTAAAGGGGGAAATTAAGTATTTAATGCTACTTTTCTGAAGGTTCTGTATTTCAGGGCAACCAAATAGCCCCATTTCATACAGTAAAGATCTACTTTACAGAAAAACAACAGTTAGGGACACCTGGGTGGCTCAGTCGTTAAGCGTCTGCCTTTGGCTCAGGTCGTGATCCCGGGGTCCTGGGATCGAGTCCCACATCGAGCTCCTTGCTCGGTGAGGAGCCTGTTTCTCCCTCTCCCTCTACTGCTCCCCCTGCCTGTGCTCTCTCTCTCTCTCTCTCTCTCTCTCTCTCTCTGACAAATAAATAAATACATAAATCTTGAAAAAAAAAAAAGAAAAAGAAAAACATCAGTTAATAAACACAAAAGAACAGAACTTTAAAAATCATATTTTGCAAACCCTAATACATTTATTGATTTAAGCAAGGATCAACAACTGGTTCTAAACCAACAGGTGAGTGAATGATGAAGAACTGAACTTTCTTAGAGAGCCAAAGTAACACCAGACAAAATACTTTCTGATGTAAGAAAACCAATATAATTGAACAGCGGGCAGAAAAGAGCGCCACCACCCAATTTCAGTGGTCAATCTAAGCATCACCAAGAAAGTTAAGTAGAGATCCTATAACTTCCGATGTGATACAATATGAAGGACATAGCATCATCTATGATAGCCAAGGTATCTTCAACCTGAGAATCCACCAACTATTTAGATATGTTTTAATTTACAGTAAATACAAGAGATAGAAAAACAAGCTAAATGACATGAGAATAAACTGGACAAATTCAAAAGGTCTGAAGCACCTGACCCAGTCTCTGCTCAAATGTCTTTTTAAAAGGCAAGGAGAGGAGGGATGGGTAGCTATCCTTGATTTAAGAAGACTTAAGGGTTCTAAGAGCCAAGTTCAAAGGTACAATGCTATTCTGGATATTGTTCTAAATAAACCAGCCATAGGGATCATTTTTGAGCCAACCAGAGATATTTGAATATGATCTGGGCATTATATGAGACGAAAATTTACTGAAATGGAAGAACAGACATTACTGACTAAAAAAAAAAAAGGTTTCAAGAGAGAATACACACCATTATGCCATATAGACATAAGAATGCATATATACCCACCTGCATATATGTAGACAAAAAAATTACAAACTAAGGTACTAAAAGTAATCATCTCTAAGTGGTGGGAATATATATTTTTCTCATTTTTGTTTTATATTTTCTGTTGCTGATACAATGCACCTGCACGATTTCTCTAATAGATTTTTAAAAGTTGTTTGTTTTATAATTATCTCCAAGTCTATTTACTAAGTGTCATGACAAAATATTGTCTTGTCCTGCATAACTTAAATTCAGCTCTGTATGTAGTTTAAAAAAATGCTGAATTTCTGTCAAAATGTATATATGTATATACACATATATACACATATATAATGAAAAAAGACTTAAGCAGCATTCACTACGTGGCAATTTTTGTCACTTTAAGAATATAAAAACTCACCCCCAACCTCAAAGGGTTCTTTTACTACAGAGGCTCCAAAACCATCAGGATTATCATTTTTAACATTACAAATAATCGCTGTCATCTATTACTCTCACATAAGAAAGTAGTTCCACCTAAAAACATAGCTCAATTCAAAGAGCTATGTTCAATTATCAAAATGTTTTAGGTATTATGTCCACTCATGAGAAAAAAAAAAAAAAGAGACTGGAGACTCAAATCAAGCCTGTAGCAATATTAATTCCTGAAGGTGAATAAACTTTACTTTGTGACGCCGTCTTGGGAACACACAGAAAACAAATGAGGCAGCCGTGGGACCCAAAGCAGTGGCAGATGCCACCAATCCAGAATTCCTACCTAAAAATTATAAATAGTTGCCAGTCAAAAATATAAATTGAATTTTTCTGAGCAATGCAACAGAAAAATATTTTTTATTCAAAGAAATAATAATTACTGCTACTAACAAACTTTCCAACTGGATCCTTAATTTCAGTGACGATGCTAGTAAGATTTTTAGTCTTACAGAAAAGCACAGTAGTACAAAGTCCCTTGAAATGCAGTCATTTTAACCAGGACTAAAGGCAAATGTATCCTTGCACTATGAATACTAACTAATAAAGTAAATATGGTTGCATAGGACTTGGTTAACTTACTTAAACAAAACCATTTGTCTCTATACATAAATGGGGAGGTTATATACTCATTAAACTCAGTTGGCCCCCTCTTTCATTCACTTAATTATTCAAACACATAGTGAACATTCTGTGCAAGGGGCACTGAGAGCAGAGGCTAAGTAAGCAGACTACCACACTGCAAGAGTCCCCAC